AAGAAAGCATCTTTCGTAGGCTAAAGACAGATGTTAAAAAGACACCATTGTTTGCTTTTTATTCTATCAGGGCCACTTGTGCTTTAGGCTAAGCCGTTGTGTGCCAGAGGAAAGCTGTAGCTTTTGCCAGGGTTTTCCTGATTACTTTTGTTTGAAAGCCTGACTATAATGGCAGGTGAAGAGGAAGCCCTTGGCTGGAGAGGAGGAAATCAAGGAATCCAGCTGCTTCTAGAGAGTAGAGGACCTCTTGATTCAGTGCTATTGTTTTGGGGAGAGGCTGCGGGCACATCATATCAGCGTCCCGTCTAAGACAAGCAGGGAGAAGCAGGGTCTCCAGGCCTCCAGCCCTGTGAATCGCTGCTCATGCACCCCCCTGCTGTGAGCTGCAATCCTAAACCTGAAAAAATAGGTGCTCTTCCGCCACCGTGTTTATTTTTAATCCTTGCTCCGCAGTTATCTTCATCGGGATGTTTTGTGGCTCTGCAGCATTTACGGAGCACTATATTAAACTGGTATAAACTCAGACAAGATGCCAGCAGAATGATGAACTAGTGATATTCCTGAGTCTCTCCGTGGAAAAATGTCTGAAAAGATGTGTTGGGCTGGCTATTTCAGAAAGTGGGTACTGTGCTGAGCACACCCAAGGTGCACTCGCTCAGGCTGGGCCGTGGATTGTTACTCACAGTCTCCCTTTGGTGTTGCTTGGGTTTCTTCCAAGATGGCTCCAAAATATGAGCCCACCTAAGCTCCTGGAAGCCCTGTGACTGGACTGCAGCCGGCTGAGATTTATTCTCATCAGTAAGGCAGGTCTTCCATGACATGAGAACTTTCACCTCACAGTTCACCGAGAAAAGGAGGAAAACCTATAGACCCAGACTGAAATTTGTGTTTTTAGCTGTTTATACATTTACAGTTTTAACTTTCCTTAGTGTCACTCCATGGCCCTTAGGATCAACTGGCTTTCCACTTTATCTTCTACTGTTCTCTGGGAAACACTAGGTCCAGCCTCCTGCATTACTAGTAGATGCCTACATAGATTGTCTGCTCTTTGCCGTAGGGCCTGAGGCCTTCGTACCTGTGGTATGTGTTTAAATAGGGTGCAGTTCTTTCACCAATATTTATTGATTGCATGATGCAGATTTGGGAAGATTCAGTCCCTTTGCTCCAAGGCCTCCTGTACCTTCTTTCTCTGCCTCCCTATCTGCAGGTGAAAGGTCCTGCTTCCTGTATTTTCAGATAGCCCTTGGAAAGGTTCACGGGATAAATAAGAGAATAAGTAAAAATGTTGATTTTACTTATTCAAATAGTTGATACCTGGGCTATCAACTTTTATTTCTACTCTTTTCTGTGGACATGAAGATAAATCTTTTTTTTTTTTCTTTTTCTTTTGTTACTGGGAATTGAACTCGGGACCTTGCGCTTGCGAGGCAAGTGGTGGAACCACAGAGCTAAATCCCTGGCCTGAAGATAAATCATTTTTGTTCTTTTGTTAGTGTAACAATCATTATATGCCAAGAATTTGGGAATATCACATTAATATCATTTTAAGAGGGTACCAATGTTCCCCATCTATACTTTGGAAGAAGAAGGAGTAAATGGTAAAAGACAAAAATCAGCTGGTTTTTCTAAACTTGCCCTACGTGTCAGGAATCTTCTAAGGCCTTCAAAACACATATCCTGTGAACCCTGACTGCAGCCTGTGTCTATGCTGGGCACAAGCATATGCCTGATCCTAGAGATCTCAAAAGACAGAACTACCTTGGCTCCAGTGCAGCCCTTCTGGGAAGCCAGCTTTCAACTTCAGTGTCTGTAGCTGATCATTTGTGATAAGAGCTGTGACTGCTGAAGGGGTGAGCGGAGTTCCAGGAAGAAGTCACAGCAGGTGCACAGGTAGGAGGACTCCCCTCCCCTTGTGTCTAGCTCAGTAGAGAAGTCCTTCCCTCAGTAAGATAGGCAGGCAATAAAAGGTATATAAGACACTGATACCTATTGCTTTTTTGAATCATTAAAGGATCCTGACCACATTTCCATTGCCCCAAGTCCCAGAACTGAGTAGCTCATTCTATTGAATACCATAGTAAGTATTGACCAGCATAAAAATGTTGCCTATATATTTATTGAGGAAACTTGCTTCTCTATGGTTTGCTAAGCACAGAGAATTCAGTGATAAAAGAAACTCCTCTTTGGCATTCAGTGTATTAAAAAAAATCATTTATACATGGGTATGTGGCAAACCGTGGTGAAAAATGGCAGCAGTATGCATGGGGTGGTCGAGAAACAGAGCAAAGGTACTCAGCCTTTGTGCTTGGTACCGGAAGTCAGACTTCTCATAGGTTTGGGCAGTAATGCTTAAGCTCGTCTTGGGACCTCACTCTGAAGGTGGACCATCAGGGTTCATTTACGATTCATTTCTATGCTTATGCTGTTTTGCTTTGATGATGATGGTGATAAATAATGGTGATGAAAAAGGAAGACAACATTTGTTAGAACACACAGAAAACGACCTCAGTGTACACAGTGATGACAGCAGATGACCAATGGCTGTGACATCTGCTCTAGGGTGTCTAGTCCAATACTACAGGACCTTAAAATCAGTGCCCTCTCAGTCTCTTAGCCCTGTTTGGCCTCATCAATCCAGAATCCAGCCTGGGATCTCAAAGTAAAAGAAACCATAAGTCTGAGTCATCTCTGACCACCAATTGTAGGGATGAGCATGTCACAAATAAAAATTGTTGGAAACACTGGGGGTCAACTTCAGTATTTAAAGTTCCTTGTTATTGTTGTAGTTGTTTTACTAATAATGTAAAAATATTAGTCAGGGTAAGGTGTTAGCTAACAGCAGTAGATTTTAGAGAAAAATAAAGGGCTCTATTTTGTCCTTAGTTGATAAGGAAGAACAATGTGAGGCAAAACAGCAGCTTGATCCTATAGAGACCATTCAGAGAGCTGGAGATCTGGACCCAACATGTGGAAAGGTGCAGCAAGATCCAGGGAAATGATTTTGACCTAATCTATGAGTTAGACAGACAGCCAGGCTTGCTAGTTTCCAACTTTGTGCTTCTGGGGTGCCAGATGTTTCCGGTGGATAAAAGGTGGGTAGGCCAGGAAGGAGGAAGCTCAGAGCAGCAGATGCAGAAGGCAGATGAGCGACATGGAAAGACTCAATGGAACGGTGTGTGCCTCCTTCTGGCCTTGTTCACACCAGTCCCAGTGGTGTGGAGGTCCAGAAGCATGTCATGTGTGCCTTGTGTTTGGAGGAAATGCCAGCTTCATGGGAGAAAAAGAAAGATGTTTGGAGCGTAGACTCTGAATTTCAGACCATGTGTCGATCGGAGCAAATTTTACAGACAGTGACAATAGGACCAAAAGGAAGCTACTTCTGTAAAGGGGAAGAGGCCTAAGCTAGCGAGATATCAGATTCTTTGAGAAGGGAAGTGAATTCACTTAAGAAGCACCCTGGGAATGCCCTGGATAATGATTAATTTACTTATTTTAAAGAATTCACAGACCTTTATGCCCTTTCTCCTTTCGTTCCTCCCACCTTCCCTCCTTCCTTTCCTTCATTGATTTTTTCCTTGGTTCCTTTCTTCTGTCATCACACATTTGAATATTGTGTATCAGCAACTATGAATATGAATATAAACTGTTTAAAACAAAGTTCTTGGTAGCTCTATTTGAAGTGTGTGTGTGTGTGTCTGCGTGTGTGTGTGTCCACATGTGCAGTTTGGAGGAAGGGATTGCTTTCACATTTGGAAAAACAAAACTAATATGAGGTAAAATAAACTGTGATAAGTATAAGATTTTTATCAAAATGAATATTTGTTGTTGGCAAGAAAGGCTTTCTCTGTTGTAATTGGGACATATTTCACAAAAGAAATGACTTTTAAATTTTGCCTTAAAATAAGAGTCCAAGAGGCTGTGGCTGAGCTGGAGCCAGGCGTTCCAAACTCCAGAGAGAGAGAAGTGTGCACCACTTCATTGTGAGGTGGAAACTTGCTCACGGCACTTCCCTGCAGTGGCACTGGGTTTGCTGCGGTGGAGGAGCTGCAGTGGAGGGGAGGTGGGGTCTGTCATCCAGGGTTTTGGGCGCCACACCAAGTCCCGCAGGTGATGTATAGTTGTGAGATCTTCATTTTCTAGTATAGATCAAAGGCTGGACTGGGTAGTGGGAGGCAAGCAGAGGGACTGGTGTAGAGGCAGCTGACTCTTTTCCATATAGAAGTGGAGCCAATTAAAGTTCTGATGATTCTTTCTCTTTTTTTTTTTTTAACAAAATAGCACAGATAGTCCCAACTTTAATTAAGTCTTCCAGTATAAAATTTCTAGAGATAGAGCATTATTGCTCCTATTATTTATGTAACAGAATAATTAATTTCTATTCAGTATGGCTCACTGAAAAATGACAAAACATAATCTACGCCTCTGAGGCATTTTAAATAGGCTCTTATTTTATTTACACAGATGGCTTCAGGCACATGTAGCAGAGAAAGCAAGGTGCATGTGCCTGTTTGGTACAGTAGTTCAACAGTGCGTGGAATGGTTGTTGCTGTGGCAAATCTCGGGTCCCATGATTCGTTCTCCTAGGGCCGTAGTAAGTGTTTCGGCAAGTGTCAAATGAAAAAAAAAAAGTAATTAGATAAGTTTGCTTTTTAAATTGCTTTTTAAGTCTCTCAGCTAAAGCAACATGTCTGGCATGTGCCTGGTAAGTTTGGAGAATTTAGTATGCTGTCCGTGGGGTCACTGAGGGAGGGTACGTGTGCCCCGTGCAAAGTTATTTGCAGGTCCGAGCTGTTAACACACACAATATGCTTGCCAGAGTTCAGCCTTGCCTTTATCCAGCACGGTTTTGTGATGTTTTTTATTTGAAATGGAAACATTACTGTCAGACTCTGTCCACAGAGAAACTAGATATGTGCCCAGTATTGAGTCTTTTTGCCTCACGGATACACGTGTGAACTTGTTCATCTGGGTGTTCCTTTTTCTGTCTCCTCATCTGTCAGGTCCGTGATGGGGTCCAACAAGGAACCGGACCTGGTACATCTCGAGGCCAGAGCCGTGGATGGTCGTAAGTACATCAGCTTGGTCCTTGTGTTTGTGAGTAACAGCAGTTCTCTCCGTCTGCTGTGGAGAAGCCTGTTGGGTCACATTGATCCAAAGCCTTTGGGATGGGGCTATTTCTTGCCCCTGGTAATCCAGAATTATCTTAATAATTTTTGTAAATACACTTACGCACACATTTTTTTTTTCCAGATTGATTCTTTTTTGGATAATGACAATGCTAGCACCATCCTCTCATGAAATCCAGGTATCTTTCTGGGTTAAAAAAAAAAAATTCCCCAGATGCTGGTTTCTAAGGGTTTGGTGCCTGCTGCTGCTACATTTACTTTTGATTTATTCTGCTGTCTCCACCCATCAGAGTCCACCCAGGCGAGACCTCAGGATCTTAGAGATTCATAAGATACTTGCCCAGAATGGGAGATTCATTTGTGTTTCTTCTGCAGGCTGCAGGAAGGGAGGCCTTTGGGGTCAGTCCCTCACCTTAGGTGGTTATTCCTCGCCTGGGTGGGTGGATCACACTGAACAGCTGCACAGTGGAGTCCAGGGCGGCTTCAGGTACATGATAGCCAGGGAAGTAAGGTGCACATCCCAAATTAAACTCTGTGCACCAATGTCTCAGAAAACCACTCACTAATTGTGGCACCGCTTAACCTTTTATGCTTCAGTTTCCTGTCTTTCAATTCAATAAGTGGTAACAATGGCTCTTTATTAGCTCATATTGATTTGGTGATCACCCTGCATCAGCAGTTGTGCTGGGCTCTTCGTGTACTTTGCCATAGTTAATCTTCATGACAGCTCTGTAGGTTGTGATTCCCGTTTTGTGGATGGGAAAACCAAAGCCTAGAGAGGTAAGTGATAGGACACCTAAGGTACACAACAAATACAGGGAGGGCAGTAGTGTCTGTTCTCAGAGTCTGTCCAGGTGAGTTAGACGAACCAATGAATATAAAATCCTGCAGGCAGGGCCCGGCCTGTGGAACACTCCAGCATAACAGTGTAAATTTCTTCCACCTTCCTTGGTCCTGAAGAACCTTCGGAGAGCTGTGCAGTTGCTGAGGTGTCAGTTGGCCTGAAGGGGAATGTGTGGGAATGGAGGGGTTGGTGGAGAAAAGCCTCAAGTGTAAGGAAGGAAGGGCCAGTGGATTACCTGCCATTACCCCAGAGAAGGGAGGCTGTGATCTGATGGCCTGCGCTCGGCCCTGTTCCCAGGACATCCCCTGCCTGTGCCCGGGACCCTGCCTATGTATCCTCTGCTCTTCTGAGTGCAGAGGCAGAAGATACCTGAGCCCAAAGTGAGCAGGTCCAGGTCACCAAGGAGCCCAGCTCCTCAGAAGCCAGGCCCTGTGGGACTGCGATAGAGATGATTCTAGAGGCTTCCTCCTCTCTGGGATGTGAGTGTACTCTTTGGCACAGTACCTGCAAGCACAGAGCAGGGAGCAGTCTGTCTGTGTCCTCTGTCCCAGCACCCAGGCAGGGCTGTTGTGTGTGATCTGCCTGCAGAGCTCCAGACTCAGGAAGCTCAGCAGCTCAGCGCCTCTGTCCCATCTCTGCTTCGTTTCCTGCAGACCTTATGTTGGCTCCCAGGGCCCAGTTTCACTGCACAGCAGAGAAACGCAGCCTTTCTTGGAGGCACAGTGAATGCACCACTGCTGTTAAGCTCAGGCTGATTTCTTGTTGCTCTGACAGTGAAGAGCAAAGGCACTACTCCTGGTGTGCTCTGACACCTGCCTGTCTCGAAGATCCCTGTTTCACCCCCTGCTCACTGCCTGCCTATGGGCCTTTGGGCTTGCTTCCAGCTCTGGGAACATACTGGGGTTTGTGTCTTGCCATGAGGCCCTGATACTTGCTGTGTCCTTGGCCTGGGAGTCTCTGCTCTTGCCCCAGTCTTGACTGGTTGAGGGTAACTAAACACCTTAGTACTTTAACTCTTGGGTTATTAAACAGTGTTTTATCTGAGGGCCCTTTCTTAAACTTCCAATCTAATCCAGCTTCTTATTTGGTCTCTTTTCGTCTTACTGTACTTTTTTTTTTTTTTTTTGAGATAGGGTCTCACTATGTAGTTGAGACTGACCTGGAACTCACTGAGTAGCCCAGGCTGGTCTCAAACTCACAGCGATCCTCCTGCCTCAGCCTCCAAAGTGGTAGGATTACAGGTGTGCACCACCACACCTGGCTGCTTTTATTATTTATTTATTTTGCTAATATGTCCCACTTATATAATTATTTGATCACAATTTTTCCTCTGCACCAGTTTATAACTCTAGTGAAATTGCAGACCATACTGTTCATTCTCCTGTACCAGGAGCTTTCCAAGTGCGTGTGGACTGAGTGGGTGCATGGTCAACCAGTAGTCAGGCTTACAGCTCTCTGTCACTTCCCAGGTTGCCTAAGACTTTTAGAGCCTTATACCTTGAACCTTAATAGGCATGTGGCCCATTTGAGGATTTTGTCAGAATGTGAACTCTGGTGCAGGGGGCCTCCCGAGATTCCACCTTCCTAACAAGCTTTCTGGTGATGCTGACAAAGCTGAGCTGTGCAGCACACTTTGAATGGCAGACTCACGACAGAAAACTAATGCAACAGCTTTAGGGTCTGTCTTCCATGACAGCCACCCATGTTTAGAAAACGCCGGATGGGCTCAGGAGCATCCCAGATTGCTTTCATTTTCAAGCTTTGGGGATAACGCAGCTTTTCTGAGCACGACAAGGCCATCCCTGACCTGCACACTGTTGTACACCTGACATCATTCCTCCACTCCCCGAAGCCGCGGCTGCTGGTAATAGAACACTGTCATCTCAGTCCCAGCTTCCACGAAGCATGAGATGTAACGGTGCTAATTTTATTTATTTTATCTTGCTTTTCTATTTTGCTAAGGCAGCATCTACAGAAACTATCCAAGAGTGAAAATTCAATAAAGACATTTAATTTGAAAAGTTATCCCTTGCAAAGCAAAACAGAAAAACAAATACCTAGCGATTGAAATAAAGGATCTAACTGTAACATCTGGTCTTGTCTTAGCCCCTCTCTCTCCACCCTCCTCTCTCTCCCACTGTCCCTCTTGCCCCTTCCTCCTACTCTCTTTTTCCCTCTCCTTTTCTCCTCCAGTACTCTTCTGTGTCCAAGACAGTCAGTAACCATGGCCCCAAGGAAAAAAAATGGAGAAGAGGAAGGGAAACACAAAGAGGTCAGAGTAGCAAAGTTGGCAAACGCAGCTGGCAAGATTGGAGGGCGAATTTATGAAAATCACCCAGGGTTCTGTCCCTCCAAGAATTCAGTATCTATGTAGTCTCTTTCCATCGCCTGATTGGAAGACTCCCTTGTCTTCCCCTTTCATTACTTAGCAAACGCATCATTTGTTTTAGATTGGACATCTTATAGGAATATTCTAAATGTTTTCACTTTGAACAGGAGTTTATTTCATTTTACTGAATTTAGGAATTTTATACCCAAAGCACTGAGATGTTTGACACAGGAAAACAATGCTTCACTTGCAGATAAGGTTGCAGATGTTCATCTGGGGTTGCTGTTCAACATTTAGACTTGGACTCGTTTCAGACACCCCCAGATTACAATTTCTAATTAATGTGTGTTTTAAATGGGGTTCCCACGTTCAAAGGGAGGGAACTCTGGAAAGCCTTTGCTCTGTGAGGGTCTTGGCCTGGCACCCATATTTCTTACCAGCTATGCCCTGAAATGCGGTTGGGTGTCTTGGAGTTTACTGTGACAAACGTGCTAATCTTGTATTGCTCTCTGCCTTGGGAGGGAAGCTGAAAAGAACAAACTCAATTATGATCCATCGCGAAAAGAATGACTTGAAAATTCCAAGCATGTTTATCAAGTGTGGCATTTGTGATCGGCCCCCACATTTAACCAAGGATAAATCGGCAGGTGCTCATCAAAGGTACAAAGAAATGGTTGTTTTAATATCTCAGTGTGGGTGTGGCTTTCTGGGTATGTACCTGTGCATCCAGTACAGTACAGCACAAAAAAGAAAACTTACACTCTCTGAATTTACTTCACATATGTATATTGCACGTGCACATAATACCTGTCACTAGAGAAAAATGTTGATCAAACTGTTGGAGTGAAGGCTTTGTAGAAAGTGGTCTCTTATTTACTCTTTGTTCTACATCTGAACGTAGCTCAGAGCCTAAAACATGTAAGATTTGTTGAATGAGTGAATGTTTGTGTCCCCGGGCATATCTTCTGAAGGAGGAAGGGTCTGTGGTGACTGGTAAGACTAACAGATGAACACACGGAAGCTACTCTCGGAAATCGGTGCCACATTTCACGTGTATGTTACTTTGGAAGAAAAGAACATCTCTTTTATCAGCATGCTTCCCATGACAATTATAGATGTGTGCATTATCCAGTGTTCATGCTCATCTGTGAAGCGCACTTCCTGTACAGTGCCCTCTCGTGCTAGGTCTGACCATTTTGCTTCTCCCAGCTGTGAAAATGCCTGTCTCTGTAGAGGGAACCTCAAGTCGGCACTCTACTAGCTGAAACGAAATCGAAAGAGTCACGAGCACCCCCCACCCCCAGTTCTGTCCCGGGTGATATTTGGCAGGCTCCCTTCGTCCTCTCATCCCAAGCTCCCGTCTGCTGTCCCTCCTGGGTGGCCTGAGTGTCCCTGTCTAGGTCGGGGATGCTCAGGACTGAAGTCTTGGAGCCCAGGTGAAGAGTGCTGGGAGGCTTCATGGTGAGCATGAAGAACTTGTGTACTGAAATACGGACTTTCTATACCAAAAATACCCATGGTGGCAATAAAATTGCAAGCAGTACTGAAATGTTTGGACTGAGAGGTGAAATCCACTCCAGCAGGTTGCGCTCATCTGCACTGTAAACAATACCTCTGCTTGCCTCTGCCGGCCTCCTCCTGTCCTCCCCTCCTGACCACTGCATGGAGTTGGTCACTTGGGCTGTTTGGACCTCCATTTAAGCCTGTTTCTAAGGAAGATCTTTCTCAAACTCCAAAACTCAATCAGTCTCTTTTTTTTTTGTTTG